TTAGGGTTATAATGGGGTTATATAGTGTTAATGGAAAAGAAAATGGATGGAAACTACTATAGTATATTGGGGTTATATAGGGAGAATGGAAAAGAAAATGGAAATTACTATAATGGGGTTATATAGGGTTTAGGGTTTAGGCTTCTATAGGGATAAAGGAAGAGAAAATGGAAGCTACTACATATGATGTAGGGCTTACAGCTTTGGATTTAGGGTCAAAAGGACTTAGTAAGTGGATTCATAATGGGTTATAAGGGTTATTAACCTACTTACTAAGTTCCCAGACTCTCCAAGCGGCCTATCGGTGGGAGGGGAGGAAATGGTTTTAGTAGAAGCTGACCGTGGAAGTGATAGAAGGATAAACAGCGGAGTTTTTCAGTTCGAGCAAAATGACAATACTGCAATAGTAATGTAGCACTTTTACTATACTACTACTACTACTACTACTACTACTACTACTACGATTACATGCATACGTACATACATACATACATACATACATACGTACATACATACATACATACGTATGTACATACGTACGTACATACATACATAAAAGGATAAGAATACTAGTAATAATATACTCCCCTGCTGCCTCTTCGTTTCGAAGGCCTCCGGAACATATCCGAAAGATCATCAAGGCAGGGGTGACGATTGGCTGTTTGCAGAGCCGCCTGTGTCCAGCGAATAGATTGTGAGTCTCATGCCTCCTTGCTACCTCGAAAAAGATAAAGGTTTTCCTTTCCCAAGCTAGAGGAGCGATTGCTTATTAAAGACGTTCTGGTGAACGTTCACACCATATTTGGAGCATGCTTGCCGGAGGATCATGGAGATATGACGGCACGCAAGTTCCGGCACGACAAGCGTATCTACCTGGGCGCGCTGAAGTACTTGCCGCACGCTGTCTACAAGCTTCTCGATCCTTGGACCTAAATGACAAAAACAAACCCAGTGGATTTCGCAAGTGGCCATACTTACTGTTGCAAGCACGTCTTGGACTTGGAATCATCAAAAGCTTAGGGTTACAAGCAAGATAAGTATATATGTGTGCATAATTGGGGGCATTTTTAGCTACAGGCAGCATAGACCTGCAAATGCTACAATCTGTATGATGGAGACCCCCAGAAAGGCACCTGAAATTTTTGGAAATCTGCATATCTTCAACTGAAATCCAGCGAGAACCAACCCTAAACCCTGAAGCTTGAACCCTACTACAGTATATATATATATTACCATATTATAGTATAATACGTAGTAAATTAGATAGGGATAGTGGAAAATAGAATGGAAACTACTACATTATCTTATATAGGGATGATGGAAAATAAGATGCAAACTACTACATCATAGAGGGTTCAGGGTCTCAATCCTGACAAGGAAAACATCCCGGTCCCGTGGCAGCAGATCCGCAACTGCCGTACCGTGTACCACTGTAGTGGTGCCATCACGTTCTGCGCGGAGATGCAGAAGGTTCCTTGTTAAATGGGGTTATGTGGGGGATCATATAGGGTTTAGGGTTTGGGGTTCAGGGTCTAAACTCCTTAAAGGGGGCGGCACGAGGGATTATACAGGGGAGTAGCATCGAGCTTATTAAGAAGAACAGTAGTAGTTTAGACCAAAGTTCTTGTGTTATCTGAGAGCTTCGGTTTCTTGAAATCAAAGGGTTTAGGATGTGCATGTGTATTGTCCAGCTGAATTTGTGCATACATACATGGGTGAATATGCATATGTGTATATGTAGGGTTTGGGTTTTTGGGCGCTAGGTAGGGTTCAGAGTCTTGGTGGACTTTCTGGGGATAGACTGGGAAACTGCATAAGGCTATCTTTTGTTCTCTCTTTGGTCCTCTGGCCCACCGAGTTTCTAGTGTTGGACATATGTCAAGTTTTTGGGGGTCATAACAGCACTGAGAGTTTCCCACATTTCGAAGGTGTTAAAGGAATTTCCTGCGGCAAGACCACTCTCGACTTACCCTTTACCCAAAACCCGAAACCTGTTAGCCGCAATCTCCCCATCTCCCGTCGGCTTTGTTGTAGGTCATCGAGCCGGTGTACCTGGCCCAGTGGGGTACCATGTGGATCATGATGAGGCGCGAGAAGCGCAGCCTGGCTGTGTTGGAGATGTGTGTACGGATGCACATGGCAACGCAGGTCTTGATTTGAGATCCATAACCGAAAGTGTAACATGACGAGAGTAGTACAAGCGCCACCAGACATCCTTGCATCCTGTGCAAATCATTCATACGTTCCTCATGGAGCGTGAAGTTCAGCACGTGGAAAGCCTTTGTCGTTTGCCAAGGAGACCGACGCCACTTCAAGCGCATGCGCTTCCCTCCATTCGATGACGAGGAGCCGCCGCTGGATTACGGCGACAACGCTGCTTGAGCTTGCAAGTCACAAGTTTGTACCCTGCATCATGCTGTCAAAGCATCCAAGAAAACATTTACAGTTGACTAGCCTCCCAGATCGTAGGTTCTTACCAGTGACAGGGCTCTCAAGTTCCTGTCTTCGTTCGGACCTCTGCCCAACTGGACCGCCTTGGAGAAACATCGTAGGTTCAGCGTAGGTTCTTTTGTGCACCTGGGCCCTTTATGGCTGCCAGTACATATGAAATGCCTCAAACACCTGAAGCAACCAGGACTCCCAATTTTTTGAAAGCTTCAATGTGACCCAGGTTTTGGACGTGGAGCCTCTCGAGGCCATTCAGATGAGGCCACCCAGTGTGTTTTTTTGCATAGGAACATAGATAAATATATATATATATGTGCACATATTGATGGGGGGGAGTGACCACATATAGATAGATAGATAGATAGATAGATAGATATAGCCGTATGCGGAGACACGCACGTATAGATATGTACATGCATATTTGGGTCATGTCACAGGAAACGTTTCTTGCGGCGCTGCAGTACACAGACATCATGCATGTAGGCATATATGCATTTAGGTATTATGCAGAACTGAATTCCTTCAGAAATGATCCTTGCTTCCATATCCTCCCCATTCCGGCACCCCAGGCCCGAAACCGTAAACCCTAAATGGTATTCCATTTTCTTTTTCCATTATCCCTAAATAACCCCTATAAACTACCCTATATACACCGAGTTTCCATTTCATTTTCCATTTTCTTTTCCATTTGATTCTCCATTATAGTTTTCCATTTTTCCAGTATAGCCTCTATATACCAGGCTGGATGTGGTCGAAGATGAGCCTGTCCTGGAGTGGTTCTACGACCCGGCGCCGTGAGCTGCATGTTAGGGTTTCCGATAATTAGGTGTACCTTTTAGGGGGTCCCAATATTAAGGACCATAGTATTTGGGGCTCTATATTGGGGTCCCCCTATTTTGGGAAACTACCATGTCAGACTGCTACAGCCGTACGGTTTAGCGTTCAGGGTTCAGGCTGTAGGGGGCCCATGCAGCATGGGTGACAGTTTCTGCCGTTTTGGGGGGTCCATTTATGGAAATTAGCGGGTGGCCCAAGGCTTGGATATACAGCTTAGGCTTCAGGATTTAGAGCAGAGGCTCATCATGAGAAACCCGCAGGAAGTTGGCTAATTTCCCGACAGCAGTAGGTGTTTCATGAGAGCCACAGGAGTCTCGTTCAAGTTTTCGCGGATGCGCAATGGGTAGCTCAGGTGCCGCTTCTGAACACGAAGCACGTGAACGGCACCAGCTACAGAAAGTGGCATTTGTCCTTGGCGCAGCAAGGCACCCTGCCTCGAAGTATGAAGTCAACCTTCGAATGCTGATGAGGAGTTGTAGAGCACAACAGGGGGGTACTACCGCCATGATCATTGCTACGAGATATGCGGCTTCCACTAGTGCTCTACTGCTGTTCCTGCTGCCTATTGCTACAGTTGCAACGACTAGGTAGCAAGAGGAGGGCCCTCAGATGGGATGGTTTTCAAAACTTATTCGTGGTTGATAGGGAATAAGAGAATATATCATATAGGGATTATGTACGGATTATGTTTTATTCCCTCATTTTCTACTAACCTCCAGAAAGAAGATGGCGCAGGTGAAGTTTTGCATGCAAACCAAGGCGTGCTCTACCGTTTGTCCAACCAGCTGTTGTCAGATTTGATGGACAAGTGCCTTGGCACTCGGTTTAGGGTTTAGGGTTTAGGGTTTATTGGGGTTTAGGGTTTTAGAGTATTGGGGTTTTGGGTTGAGGGTTTAGGGGTTTAGGGTTTGGGTTTTGCGGTTCAGGGTTCATCTCTTCCTTAGAGGGTTGGGTTGTGCGCTCTCCCTAGATATGATGTACGGGTATGTTGGGGTATATAGGGTGATTTAGGGGAGTGGAAAAGAAAATGAAAAGGACTAGATTTTGAGACACGACCCCCTGGATTTTGGACAGTCATTCGTTTTTGTGACGTTACTCGGGAAGCTTCGCAACAGCATCCGGGATGTTGATTGCAAGCCGGTCCTTTACCCTCGTACTCATACACAGCTATTCCGACAATGGCTCCAGCAGGAGGTGTTGCAGAAATTCAGAAGTGTCATGGTTTCCCCAATGAACGCCCTTTATGCTATCCCCTGGTAGGTTTGTTTTTCCTTACTTCGCCTTCATAATCCCCAACTTTTATGAAAACATGGTCTATGTGCCAGGAACTATTTCTACCTCTTCGAGAGGAAGTCCTTCTACACCGCAAAGGCTTTGAACATGGCCATCCCAGGCAGGGCCCCAAAGCCTAAACCCAAAATCCTAAACCCTGAACCTTAATCCCCAAAGCCTAAAGTCTAATCCGTAAACTCTAAACCCTAAGCTTCAGCCCTAAACCTTACATAGGGGTAGATAGGGGTATATAGGGTATGCAGGGTATATAGGGTTTGTAGGGGTGTATAGAGATATCTAGTAGAGCTGGAAGGATAAGGGAAACTCCTATATATTGTCAGGTTTTGGGGCCGTCAAAGATATGGTCCCATTTGCGTAGCAGGAACCCAAAGAGATAAGATGAATTTGACCACCTACCATTTAGTGGTAGTCTATCGGAAACGTCTATCAGTACGGGGTGGGGATTCCAGTAGCAGGCTTTTTGACTATAGGAAGAGGGGACTAACCTGGTAAAGGTTATGATGGCGAAGTATTCCGGGGAAAATTGTCCTACTTTCCATGACTTGTCTTGTTGTGGGGTTAGCCCTAAACCTTAGACCCTGACCACCAGGTGGTCCGAAGTTCGAGCCTCTGTACCGTGACATGTACGACGAGGACGAGGACTGGAATGAGCCTGCTGCTCAGAACGGCGTGGGCTGTTACTGTTGTTATTACTGGGTGGCGCTCTGGGATAGTTGTTAAGTTACCCTTTTGATAAACAAGGGACCCTATTCATGAATGATTTTGAGGGTCTTTAAAGTACCAAGCAGTACAGGTATGATGAGATTGTTACTACTTCCGTACTGTTGTTACTGTCAGAAGTGTAATGCTATTCTTGCTGTTGCTATTGTTTCCCTTGCGCTGCAAGAGCAGAGTGCGGCAAGCATGCTTTTGTCACCAGGATGCCATTCACCTAGGAGCATTGGGAATTGAATGTCAGTATGCTCTTACTGCGTTGGTACAGTACAATAATGGTAATAATAATAATAATAATGGTAATAGTAATAATAGTTTAATAATAATGGTAATAATAACAATAGTAGTAGTAATAATAATAGTAATAGTAATAGTATTAATACAGTAGCATGACTCCTGAAGTCAATACAATTCCAGCCCCATTGCAGCGGTGACGGTTGCCACTAGTTGCCGTGATGATGATGATGGCACTCAGCAGTGGAATTGTAGCAACAGCAGCAAGCGTTCGGATTGTGATGTGTGATGTGATGCTCAGGTTCAATGACATCAACAAGATCATTGTCAGGCAGCAGCTCCGGACGGAGTACCGCACCTCTCCAGATGATGGTCTACAAAAACTTCTCCTTGTGATGATGCTTGAATTTCAAGGAAAGTCTGTACGTTGGGATTGGGGACAAGGTGGAGGTTACGTACAAGAGTTGTCGGGCTGTTGCTTGGGGTCATGAGAGTTGGTAGGCCAATCAGACTTCTAATGTCACGGTGTGGAGGCTGAGCTGGGCAGGCATGCCAACTTCGAAGGCAGGAGACACGAGCCTAAACCCTAAACAGTCGTTCCATCTTCTTTTCCATTATTCCTACATATCCCCGATATACCCCCCTTAATAATCCCTTATATAATCTCTATAACCGTCCCCTCATATATCCCCAATATAACCCCCATATAACCCCGCAAGCCCCTCCTCAGCTGGTAGCAACCCTGGTTTGGCACGTCGACTTCACAGTCCCAGAATCACAAACGGGGATTGACCCTCATCATCCTCGTGTTGACCAGACATGGGTTTAGGGTTTAGGGTTTAGCTGTGTCATCGTGTTGCATGGGTATATACGGGTTATAATGGGGTTATATAGCGTTAATGGAAAAGAAAATGGATGGAAACTACTATAGTATATTGGGGTTATATAGGGATAATGGAAAAGAAAATGGAAACTACCACATTATATTAGATCTGTGTTCGGGTTACATAGTGGGGGTAAATAACAGTGTATAAAATAGCTTCATAGCACTCCTGCATGATCTCCATAACAGCCCATTTCTCTTCTCCACGTAAGCAACATTGAGTTTCGCTACTGAGGCATCGCGTTCCCTTTCCTGTACAACTCGCGTCCTCGAAAGGTTGCCATGGCACCCTACCACAACCAGGCGGACCTTCGTAAAGCCTAAACCCTAAACCTACCACAACTAGGCGGACGTCTCACTGCTGGTTGTCTCCCTCTTCGTTTGTTCTTCGCAGTTCTCTGCTTCAACTGGTTTGATTACTTGGGCTATAGCCGTGCCTAGTGTCTTACGGACATCGATGCTTGCAATGCTTGCTTTATTCCTTGAAGTCATCATGACAAGCCTGCCATGACACTGTGACATGCAAGAGGATGAATCCGTTGCCCATCTTGTGAGCATTGCCTGCCAGCCGCAACAAGAAATTTCTTATGACCCCCCTAATATTAAATACTCCCAATATATTATAATATACCACAGAATGGGTGTACTCCCCCCCCTAAATGTGTGTATTCCCCTCTACTATTAATTATTCCTAATATATTATAGTATACCACATGATGGGTGTATCTAATATGAGCCACCCCCCACCCCCGGCCCGCAACAAGATCCGAACTCTCTGCCAGTCTGTGTGCTACATCAAAGCGGATGATCCGGATCTGCCTGCACCTGGACTGCATGCAGAGAATAGGCCTGATGATTCGATGGGCATTATTCCGAGACTGTAATCATTACTATCATCACTATTATTTTTATTCGTAATAACTGTCGTTCCCCGAAGAGGCAGAAATTGTATATGAGGACCTGCAACTAGGGACCAGACCAGCATGATCCATCATTCCATGAACCTAATGCGGAATTAGTCCGCCAGGGGATTGGTACCACGCCTCTTAGGTAGCTTTGTTAGAGTCCTTATAAGAAATTGCTCGACGCATTTTTGGGATCATATTTGGTGTCTTTTTTTAGGAACCTCAAATGAGGTACTATAGTAGCTTCCATTTTCTTTTCCATTATCCCAATATAACCCGAATATACTATAGTAGCTTCCATTTTTTGTCCATTATCCCACTATAACCCCAATATACTATAGTAGTTTCCATTTTCTTTGCCTCGCCCGTCTCTGACGGTCTCTGATGTCCTCTGCCCATCCCAGGCGTTCTACTACGATCCGATCATCAATCCTCTGCCTGCGCTTCTTGGCATACATAAACGCTTTCATGGGCCCTGTGAGATGCCAAAAAGTCAAGGGCTTTTCATGCCTGAAGCGGAGGTACCGCGCAGTTTCTCATCGATCTCAAGATCAGTCCGCAGAGGATGATGAGGACATCGAGAACTTCACGTTGCCGGAAGACTGTGCCTTGGACGAGCTTACTTAGTGGCTTGGGAGCGCGCCGTGCTTGATCACTCTACCCCATTTTTTGCTAGCTGAGGCAAGCCTCTGCTTGAGGACACTCCGCTCTTCACGGACAGCACGGCCAACGGCATCACGCTGTATTGGGCACCCAGACCTTTCAACCTTCGCAGTGGCTACATGCGACGTGCACAGGATGTTCCACTCGTTGGACAGTGGTACAAAGAGCACTGCCCGTCGAATTACCCAGTGAAGGTGCGTGTCTCGTACCAGAAGCTCTTGAAGGTGTGGGTGCTGAACCAGCTGCACCACCGCCCACCCAAGACGCTTAACAAGCGCAACCTGATGAACATCTTTGCCACCACCAAGTTCTTCCAGCGTACAGAGCTGGACTGGGTGGAGATCGGTCTGCAGGTGTGCCGTCAGGGGTACAACATGCTGAACCTCCTCATTGCGCGAAAGAACTTGAACTTCTTGCACTTGGATTACAACTTCAACCTGAAGCCGGTGAAGACGCTGACCACCAAGGAGCGCAAGAAGTCCCGCTTCGGGAACGCCTTCCACTTGTGCCGAGAGATCATGCGCCTCACAAAGCTGGTGGTGGACTCGCACGTGCAGTTCCGATTAGGCAACGTCGATGCCTTCCAGCTGGCGGATGGTTTGCAGTACATCTTCGCCCACGTCGGTCAGCTGACCGGTATGTACCGGTACAAGTACCGCCTGATGCGACAGGTGCGAATGTGCAAGGACTTGAAGCATTTGATCTACTACCGCTTCAACACGGGCCCCGTGGGGAAGGGACCTGGCTGCGGCTTTTGGGCCCCGGGCTGGCGCGTCTGGCTCTTCTTCCTGCGCGGTGTCGTCCCGCTGCTGGAGCGCTGGCTGGGCAACCTGTTGGCCCGTCAGTTCGAGGGACGTGTTAGCAAGGGCGTGGCAAAGACCATCACCAAGCAGCGCGTGGAGAGTCACTTTGACTTGGAGCTCCGCGCAGCTGTGATGCATGACATCATCGATATGATGCCTGAAGGCGTCCGAGCCAACAAGGCCCGAACCATCCTGCAGCACTTGTCAGAGGCCTGGCGCTGCTGGAAGGCAAACATCCCGTGGAAGGTCCCGGGACTGCCAGCCCCCATTGAGAACATGATCCTGCGGTATGTCAAGTCCAAGGCTGACTGGTGGACCAATGCCACATACTACAACCGAGAGCGAATTCGCCGTGGTGCCACTGTGGACAAGACCACCTGCAAGAAGAACCTGGGTCGGCTGACCCGCTTGTGGCTGAAGGCAGAGCAGGAGAGGCAGCACAACTACCTGAAGGATGGCCCATATGTCAGTGGAGAGGAGGCAGTGGCAATCTACACCACCACCGTGCACTGGCTGGAATCCCGAAAGTTCACTCCGATTCCCTTCCCGCCGCTGAACTACAAGCACGACACCAAGCTGCTCATCCTGGCCTTGGAGCGACTTAAGGAGCAGTACACGGTCCAGACGCGCTTGAACCAGCAGCAGCGAGAGGAGTTGGGCTTGGTAGAGCAGGCCTACGACAATCCTCACGAAGCCCTGTCCCGAATCAAGCGTCACCTGCTTACTCAGCGTGCCTTCAAGGAGGTGACCATTGAGTTCCAGGACATGTACTCGCATTTGGTCCCCTGCTATGAGATTGAGCCTCTGGAGAAGATCACAGATGCCTACTTGGATCAGTACCTGTGGTATGAGGGTGACCACCGACATCTCTTCCCCAACTGGGTGAAGCCGGCAGACACGGAGCCTGCACCTCTCTTGGTGTACAAGTGGTGCCAGGGTATCAATAACTTGACCGACGTCTGGGATACCTCAGATGGCCAGTGTGTGGTGGTCCTTGAGAGCAAGTTCGAGAACGTCTCTCAGAAGGTGGACCTCACCCTTCTGAACCGCTTGCTGCGACTGATTGTTGACCACAACATCGCAGACTACATGACGGCCAAGAACAACATTGTCATCAACTACAAGGACATGAACCACACCAACTCCTACGGTCTGATCAAGGGCCTGCAGTTTGGATCCTTCGTCTTCCAGTACTACTGCATGGTTCTGGACTTGTTGATGCTGGGCTTGACGCGTGCGTCAGAGATCGCCGGGCCTCCACAGCTCCCCAACGAGTTCCTGACCTTCCAGGACGTGGACACAGAGCTGAGGCATCCTATCCGACTGTACTGCCGATACCTTGACCGCTTCATCATGGTCTTCCGCTTCAGCAAGGAGGACTCCAAGGATCTCATCCAGAGGTTCCTGACAGAGAACCCTGATCCGAACAATGAGAACGTTGTCGGCTACACCAACAAGATGTGTTGGCCGCGAGATTGCCGAATGCGGCGCATGAAGCATGATGTTAACCTGGGACGCGCAGTCTTCTGGGAGATGCAGAACCGATTGCCCCGCAGCGTGACAACGCTTGTTTGGGACAACTCCTTTGCATCCGTCTACTCCAAGGACAATCCCAACATCCTCTTCAACATGTGCGGCTTCGAGGTTCGAATCCTGCCCAAGATCCGCACGTTCCAGGAAGAGTTCACGCAGCGCGAGGGTGTGTGGAAGCTTCAGAACGATGCCACTAAGGAGATGACGGCACAGGCCTTCCTCAAGGTGGACAATGAGTCGCAGAAGCAGTTCGAGAACAGATGCCGTACTATCCTGATGGCTTCTGGCTCCACAACCTTCACGAAGATTGCCAACAAGTGGAACACAAACCTCATTGGCACTCTGGACCATTGTCAGGAAATCTTTTGCAGTGTTAATGCGTAAGACTAATCAAAGATCTAAAAGTTGCAGTCTCTAGTGCTACCACCCCGCCTACAGTGAGGTTTGTAGGACTGTAGGTAGCCCTAAATGGATTTTATCAGGAAGACAAAGTATTATAGCCTTATCATAACCTCATTGGACAGTTTTTCCAATTGACTGTACAAAATTTCCATCTTCAGCCCAAAACCCCGAAACCCACAACTCAAAAGCTTAAGCATCCAGTTGAAATCCTGTTGCGATCTTACTGGGGTACCTGCAGCCTTGGATATGCGGAACATCGTCATTTGTTATTGGGACCTCAAAAAGGCCATGCTTGATGAGAACAGCCATATAGAATTAGATGAATCTCTGACATGCTTGGAGCCTCTCTTGACTTAGTAAGTTTACTGAAAAACAGGGGTTAATAGGCATTTATTCGGGGTAGTAGCTAAACTTACTAAAAGGAGCCTCCAAGGAAATCCCTGAGCCCCGAATCCCTCAACCGTATAGACTTGTATAGATCCTTGTATACTTTCGATCTGTTTCTACGTCTCCTCTATATGTCCCAATTTACCCCTATTTACCCTTTGTACATCGCTGTATGCCCCGTATATGCATTTCTTATATCCCTAAACCATAAACCCTAAACCCCCATATACCCCTGTATACACGCTATGTCTGCTTCAGGCATGATGACGTACTTCCGCGAGGCGGTCATTCACACGGATGCGCTGCTAGACCTCCTGGTGAAGTGTGAGAACAAGGTGGGCAACAGTGTAAACGCAAGGGGTTCAGAGTTTAGGGCCTTAGCTTTGGTGATTTTGGGGTTCAAGGTCAAACAAGTCGTGGATTTTGGAGTTTAGGGTTTGGAATTTGTGGGGTCTTGGCAGGTTTCGGCATCCAAGGTATGTTTGAAATCTAAAGGATCATAGCCAGGTCCTCTCAGAATTATACCGGGAATCCTTGCAGGAGCTCTTGTTGGCTCCGCATGCCGGATTATAGAGTGTTCTCGGGGGCACACATTTGAGATGAATTGGAAGCCCTAAACCTAAGATGAGGTACGAACTATTTAAAGCTGGATAGGCTATTAGTTCTAAGCCCTTAAGCCGTATATCCTCTACATGAGCCTTACATCCAAAGTGAACCCAGAGAGCCCAGAATAGTTAAATTCAGGAATGTACCTCAAATTATGATACTCGGACTCCGCATATGATTTAAGGTATATTCCTCAATCAAAGGGTATTGGGCACCCTAAAAAACCTTGAAACCTTAAACCCTAAACCCTACCATCCACCCTCAAACCCTAAAACCCTAAACTCTAAATCTCAACATCCACCCTAAAACCCTACAACCCTAAAATCCAAAACCCCAAAACCCTACAACCCGAACCCTAAACTCTGAACCCTTAAATGCAGGTGCAGACTCGAATCAAGATCGGCCTCAACTCGAAGATGCCGTCGCGTTTCCCTCCAGTGGTGTTCTACACACCCAAGGCAGGGTTTACGATTTAGGGTTTTAGGGTATAGAGTTAAGGATTTAGGGTTTAGGGTTAAGGGTTTAGGGTTTGGGGTTAAGGGTTCAGGGTTTAGGGTTCCAACATAGGAGGTTTAGGGATCTGGGGTTAGGCGTATTTAATCAGAACTTTGCCTGCTCGGTTCAAGCATTTCAACAAAGCTGCTCCTGTGCTACCCCTTCATTCCAGCACAGTCTCTGATTGTCATAGGTCCCTGGAAGACATGAGAGGTTCTCAAAGCTAGGGTATCCCTACACGCCCAGTGTTCATAGAGTCTTTGCTGTAAGTACAACCTCCCAACATGTCCGTCATTGTGGCCGAATTGAGTGCCAAAAGCTTTGGATGATAAGGAGTTGGGTTTAGGGAATTGTTATTCATATTTATTCATCTTAATTTTTTGGACCTTCAAAGGGGACCCCGAATTGCTGGAAGCTCCCTGAGCTTCTGTTAAGAAGGACATGCGGGGGACTGGGCACAGCATATCCGCTGCATATCCTTTGTTTTCTCATATAAATGCCCCGTCTGCAATCCCTGCAAAGGAGTTGGAGAAGTGGGCATGCTCAGCATATCCCTATATATCCCTATATAACCCCTACATAGACCCTGTTTTTCCTCCCTGTTGACATGACGCCGTCAAAGTTGGGAGGATTGGGCCTAAACCCTAGACCCTAAATCCTAAACCCAAACCCTGAACCCCTGGAAAGGAGTTGGGAGGATTGGGTATGCTCAGTATGGGCCACATCCTCATCCCTCAGTCTGACTTGCGGTACTCGAAGCAGACGGAGCATCTTGTCACTTAGGGTCTAGGGTTTAGGGTTTATTAAGGGCTAAGGAGGTTTAAGGGCTTAGGGGGTTCCAATGCTGTTCCTACCTTTCCCGAGAAATTCCCAAGAGGGTCACCCAAACCCAGGGGTACCCCGCGACTACTAGAAGAGCCTTACTGCTAAGCCCTGAAATAGTATTTCCCTAAATGGAGGGACCCCAATATAGACCCCAGAATACTATGGCCATTATTATAGGGACCCCCAAAAAGTTACACCCAAGTTGGGGAAACCTCCAAATCAATTCTCCACTAAACGCCAAACCTGGAGCCTTAGGACGGGCATCACACACTACCGCAGTGGTCTCAGCCATGAGGAGGACCAGTTGATTCCGAACCTCTACCGATATGCTACCCGTCAGGATGGGTTCTGGATACTTTTGCTTGAAACTACGAGAAATGATCATTACTATCTTTGTTACCATCGTTACCATTCTACAGTCACTGTTCCTGCTTGGCTTTCTGTAAAGGTCATATGCAAGCCGTGCGTTTTTGGAGTGTCGCTTGCTATTGTCTGCAGCTTGTATCTTTGTTGTCATCCTACTGTTCTACAGTCATCACCATTTTTTCAACCTTTCTCAAAAGATGCAGGTCAATTTCGTCACGACAATTCTTATTCATGTTGTCTTTACTGTTTCTGCTCTGGGTCGTACCGCCCCCGGCTTCTTCCGAGGAGCAGACCAAGCGTGTTCATGTTTGTCCCTCTGATTCCTGACCATTCTGCCTTCTTGGTGCTGCTACAGCTGTGGGCTTCAAACCTCCTTAACCCTGCTGACCCTTGTAAATCCTAAGCCTGGCCCCAAACCCCTCAAGCCTTAAACTGGGGACATTACTGGAACATTTTTCATTATCATGTTCCATAAAACCTAAATATTCAATTTCAACCCATGACCTATATATTCCATATAAACCCATGAATCTATTTGTACAGGGCTCCTAAGCCTATCCCAGTGAACCCTAAGTCCTGGTTTCTGCCAAATCCCAAATAAAATGCTACTAAACCCTAAACCCTAAGCGTTAAACCCTAAACCCAAAACCCTAAACCATAGATCCCCATAGTATCCCCAAATAAACCCAAAATCCTAAACCTAAA